CACCTTCAAATGTCTATACATAAAAGTTTCTCATTTTAATTTGTACTCCTTTCAATCACAATATATACCATATCTAATTCGATTTATATTGGTTAGAGGCAGGAACAGGTTGGGAGGAGAGATACATTACTCAACAAACAATAAACTGAATACTAGCGTATATATGAAATTATTAGGAAGGTTTTCGATTTTTTTTCAATCTTCATTTATCTAACTCATGCTAATCAGTCTTTCTCAAGGAGTAGGCATGTGCCAAATCACAACCTTTACAGTATGTGCTTCCTCTTTGGATACTCTGCCTATATCAGAATTAAGAGGAGCTGCCTATAAAGAGTGCCTATCTTCAGAGGGAAAGAAATTTACTAAGTTGTCTGAGGAAAAAAACGTCATGTGGTTCTTCAGTCCTCTCAGATGATCAAAGGACAACCATTACAGATTTGGTGCAACCTTCCCCCTTTTGGAAAGATAGTTAACAAAATCTCTTTTTTCCTAAATATTGGAGATTGAACCCAGGGCCTAGCACATGTTAGGCAAGCCCTTTACTACTGAGCTATATAACCCCAGCCATTAATCTTTCAAACGTAAGTCGCCTAATATGCATGAGATAAAGGGGGGGGGGGGAATACAAAGATCTAAGATATATGGTTTCTGTAGTCTCCAAGAACATATAAAAATTACTAACATGTAGCAGGAAATTACAAGTATCCCAAGAGTTATAAATTCAGGAGAGATTATATGCAGCTGTAACTGGAGCTAGAAGGAAAAGGAAATATGCCGTGATAATTTCATATACAAAGAAAGGACAGAACAGGATTCTTGGTAAAAACAGTAAGCAGGGGCTGGAGAAATAGCTCAGTTGGTAAAGTACTTGACACACAGCCTGAGGACCTGAGTTCAATCCCCAACAGCCACATAAAAACCTGGGTGAAGCAGAATATACTTACACTCAAAGCTCTGGAGAGGCAGACAGGAGGATCCCTGGGGCTCTCTGGTCAGCCAGCCTAGCCTAATTGGTGAGTTCCAAGTTCCAATGAGAGACTCTGTCTCAAAAGAACAAGGTGGATAGCACCTAAGGAATGACACCTGAAGATGACCTATGATCTCCACATGCATGTGCACACACATAAACATATACACTCCAAAACAACTCTAGCCTAGGAACATTTACAGCACAGAGCACACCATAAAGAGGTGGGAATGGGGGCTCCCAGTGTGGTGGCTCACACCTGTAATCCTAGCTTGCAAGAGTTTAAGGGCTGGGCTATACAGCAAGTTCAAGAGCAGCCTAGATATTTTAGCAAGACCTTGTCTCAAATTTAAGAAAAAAAGAAGAAAAAGAGCTGAAATACAGTTCAGTAGTAGAGTATTTAATTAGCATGTCCAAGGTCCTGAGTTGAATCCCCAGTATTAAGGGACAGGCAAATGGGGGAGGAGCTAAAGCCAAAATACAAACATACAAACATTTTTATTTTCGAACCCAATCATTCTGTCTAACCATTAGAAACTGATGTCTAAGGAAACTCCTAAGTTAATGTAAAATTACTAAACTACATTGAGAAATAACACAAATACTCCCTACACAGAGAAATTTCTGCTTGCTTCTTAGGAAAGGCAAAAATCATTTATTGATTCAAGCAATGCGAAGATGTTGAAGCTAGCCAAGCATGGCGCACGCCTTTAATCCCAGCACTAGGGAGAGAGAGACAGGTGGATCTCTGTGAGTTCCAGGCCAGCCTGATCTACACAGAGAGTTCCAGGCCAGCTGGAGCTACAGGGAGACCCTGTTTCAAAAAGACCAAAAAACAGATGTTGAAGATATGAATTGTGTCTGGTTGCAAAATTCTTATTTCCATAATTTTAAAGCACTTTAAATATATATATACACATTAAACATGTTAAATTCATGATGTTTTAATATTTGTCAGGCTTTCAAAATGGCTTAGGTGGATATTTTGCCATGTCTCTACAATTCTGAATAACATATGACCTAAAACATAATGGTGCTGGAAATGAAGAAGCCCAATCCTTGAAACTTAAAGCTTTTTACATATTGGCATCAAAAGCTTGTTCATTCATATACACAATCTTCCAAAACCAAAAAGCTGTGACTTCCCATTCTGGGGAAAAATGTACTTCCCAGGTAACAAGTACATTTTTTAGACATTTTCCTCCATCTCTGAATCAGGAGATTTTATTTTTATTTATTTTTTATTTATTGTTTTTATTTTATGTATATACATGTATTGACTGCACGTATGTGAGTGCACCCATGTCATGCAATGCCGCAGAGGTCAGAAGAGGGCTTCGGAATCCCCTGGAACTGGAGTTAAGGACGGTTCAAAGCCGTCATGTGGATGCTGGGAATCGAATCCAGATCTTCTGCAAGAGCAGTCAGTGCTCTTAACTGCTGAGCCATCTCTCCAGTCCCAGGACACATTTTATAGTGTGAAAATATTAATTTAAATGACAGCTTCTTGAGCTCACAACAATCACCAATTCCTTTAGGGTGTTTAGGAAGCTAGCATCATGTTGCAGAGTGATTTCCTGGCATTTTGTTCCCAAGCCAAAAAATGAGGCTCCAATATAACCCTCCACCTGCAGCTCCCTTCTTGTACTGCAAAGGCTCTGGGCATCCACACACTTGCAGCTCTGTGTAACTTCACACAAAAGACTGGCAAGTGGCCAAGGAGTTTCTGCCACAGTATATTTTCCCCCAAAGTTCAAGATTTTCTAACTAATCCAATTCAGCCATGAAAAGAGATCTACTTTGGTATACTATGTCAGCGTAAAACAAATTAAATTCTATCTTCTAGTTAACAAAAATGCAAAGCCATTAAAATATATACATATTTTTTACAGAGCCCTGTGAGAATAATTCTATGAAGATGCTTAAAACTTCCTCAACGAGTTATTTCCTCAGAATTTTACCAACAGCAAGAAAACCAATGGCAAATTCTTTCTAGCACAGAGAGGTTTAACTCTATTTCCAAAGCTCCATTTTGAGCATTTCATGCACACTGCTACTGAATATCAAATACAGATGCTGTCAGTCCCTGGTCCATGTATGACCTATGACTACAATTGTGAGATACAAATATTTTTAAGAATGACCTTAATTTCTGCTGTCTCTAAAGCAAGAAATACTTATAAACAGACGAAAACATGTTTCTATAAATCAAGAAGCTGTGATATTCTAGTATAAAATTTCCTAAGGGAAAGGGGAGGTTAATGGAGGGCTAGGATGTGGTTTGGCATGCACAAGGCCTGGGTGCAAACACCTGGAGCAGCTCGGTTAATACTTAGCTTTTTAGAAAGGAGTATTCCACAGCAACAAGCAACAATACAGTAGGCACCCTTGTGTGAAAATCTCAGAAAGCTCTTTTTTCTTTAAAGTATTTTATTATTTTTCTTTTACGTGTATGAGTGTATTGTCTGCATGTATGTAAGTGCGCCCATGTTATGCAGTACCTGAGGAGGTCAGAAGAAAGTGTTGGATCCCCTGGAACTGGAGTTATGGATGGCTGTTAGCCACCATGTCATGCTGGGAATCAAACTTGGGTCCTCCACAAGAGCAGCCAGTGCTCTTAACCACTGAGTCATCTCTCTAGTCCATTTTTCATTTTTACTAAAATCTTTCACTCTAGCTGCTCTCTGTTCCAGGTCTGAACACAATAAGTAAAGGATTACTAAAACAGTAGTTGTCTGAATGACTTAAGCCCTTAAAATAGCACATACCTAGCACTCAGGAGGCTAAGATAGGAGCCAGCTAGCAGGGCCCTGGCTGAATCTCCTCCTCTGCAACAAATGAACAGTGATATTTGAACTTTAAATCCCAATTTCTACTCAGTAATGCCTTCATGTGACATAAAAAAAACTTTGTAAAAAAATAAAATAATAAATAATTCCAAAGGCTCTTTCAAATGTGCCGCCCCCCCAATTCCAGTGTCAGCAAACTTTAGAACTAAGGGTAAGCTGATTAAAACAAGAATTGTTCATAATTTATGATCAAGGAAATAAACTTGCTTTACAAAGTTAAAACAGCACATTATACTTCTCTGCAGATACTAAATGGATAACGAATAGTTAAACATTGTTTTTAACCTAAATATCCCATTCTAAGTAGTCACAAAAATAGATACTACTTTACTATCATTTACATGAAATGGACATGAGCATGGTAATACAAGGAGACAACAAGGCTTCTAATATATATATTGGAGACAAGGTCTCACTATGTAGCCCATGATGACCTCCAACTTATATCCTGCTTCAGTCTGCTGAGTGCTAGGACTATAGATATACACCACCTGGCATAGCTATCTCCAGCCTCTTCTTAAAGGATGAGATACTTTAAAAAAATAAAATAAATAAAGCCAGGCATAGTGGCGCATCCCTGTAGTCCCAGCACTTGGGAGGCAGAGGCAGGCGGATCTCTGTGAGTTCAAGGCCAGCCTGGTCTACACAGTGAGTTCCAGGACAGCTGGGGCTACAGAGAGACCCTGCTTCAAAAAGACAAATATAAATAAATAAATAAATAAATAAATAAATAAATAAATCAATCAATCAATCAATCAATCAATCAATCAATCAATCAATCTTGAAATGCTGAAATGGTAACACCAAGTTCTTACATTTATCTCTCAGGAAGTAGAAGAGCATACAACCACAAGGAGATAAGGAAGATTATCAAAATGATCTTTTTTAAAAATATATTTTATTTATTATATTCTATGTGTATTCGTGTATTGCCTGCATGTATGTGAGTGCACCTGTGTTATGCAATGCCCAGAGAGGACAGAAGAGGCCATTGGATCCTCTAGAATTGCAGTTATGGACAGTTGTTAGCTGCCATGTGGGTGCTGGGAACTGAACCCGAGTCTGCAAGAACAGCCAGTGCTTTTAACTACTGAGCCATCTCTCCAGCCCCGAAAAAATGAAGTTTAAATTTGTTAAGAATACATTTGTGCACACAATACCATTTCTACAAAATATTAACTTACCAGTATGTGCTGTAGCTACTGCAATCCATACACACTGTGTGCTGAGCTTTCTCTTGCTTTTCTGATTTCTTATGGTTGGTTAAGGGTATCTGTGCATCTTCATAATGTTTTTTTGCATGGCCATTCACATACCTTATAAAACCAAGTGAAAATTTTACTTTAAATATTTCTTTGGAAATCAAAGTAGTAAGAGATGATAAAACTGTTAATCAAATTAAAATGAAACTCTCTCATAAAAATGTTAATCATCTGATGGTATATTAAGCTAAATACTTAGAGTATACTCAATTTTGTAATTTAATACTATAGTCAACTTCCAATTACACACTAGATTAGGGCCAGGCAAGGAAAGGCTTATCTATGCAAATTAATTTCAATGCTATTGATAGGATCACTTATTAACTTCCATACTAATGCTTTCCCTGTAGCTTTTTATAGTTTTTCTTAGATTGCTAACACCCAGCTTGAGTTATCAAAAATAAACTCTATGCACTAAATTAATCAACCACCTTTCACAGGGCCATATGTTGGCATCGCATCTAAAATGAAGTCAGAAACACTGACTTTTCATGGATATGGCTTCAGATCTTTTCTCTGAATCCTGGTCAGCAATATGCATACGGAAATGCATCTGTTTAAAAACAATCCAAACAAAACACAAATTTATCAGTGGTTGGGTATGTTCATACAGGTTTAATAACTTTCCATTTCAAGTTTAATAAACCATTTTCACTACATTTATTTATCTAATAAATAAATATGAGGGAGAATATCCATGGCTCAGCACATACATAGAGACTAGAGACCCATCAAAGTTGGTTCCCTCCCTCTACCATGTGGGTCCCAGGGACTAAACTCAGGTCATCAGACTTGGCGGCAGGTGCCTTTACCTGCTGAGCCAACTTGCTAGCCTTAATAAATCATTTTATTACAGCAGGGAAAGTGAAATCAAAGTATTCGTATGCACATGGTATACACACAAATTCATCTACACTTTTATATAAAGACTATGTAATGCTGTCCCTGACTACTACTGTGAAAACCATTCCAACACAAAACATCCTAGTTCCTAGAAAACAGCCACTCTACAGAAATCAGGACCTCTTTAAAAACTCAGTCAAAACAAAAATGGCACCAAAATAAACAGACTGACAATTTCATCATAAGGCACAGTAATTACAGGAGGAGCAGCACTTACCTTGGGGAAGGTAGGAGCGCTGTGGTAAAGTAGTCAACTTAAGTCCAGCCTCCACACCCCAGGAAAACTGGACCTATGAACCTCAACTCAGAATTTAATCATTTTTTTTCTTTTGTTATTTTTTTTCACTGTACTTTAAAAACATGGGTCCTCTGTCTCCATAAGTGGACTATTATAATTTTAAAATAACAAGTAAGGGAAGAAGTTAGCCTGCTTCAAAAACTTTGACACACACTGGCCTTACAAGAGCAGTAAGTTACTAACCTTTCTCAGTATCATATGGATTTTTAGGTGTTAAACTAAACAACCCATGACTCAAAATGAATGACTGCAAAGTCAGCACATGAAACACATGCTTTGAGATAACATGTTAAGAAATACTTGCTATTTAACTGAAAAGGTAAACTCTAAGCCATCATATAATTTCAGTAACCACCTTTTCTGTTCTTAAAGCACACATCACGAAAAAGAATGGTAATGAGGAGGTTCCTTCATAATCAAATAAAAATGCTGAACAATAATATTTGTAAGGATATTACCATATTCAGGGGTTTGAAACTGATAATCTTAAATAGTAAACAAAAAGATCTTTAATTACAATCATAGTTTCTAAATATACTATGTTTCCATTGTTCCTACATGATTGAGAACAAAGGATAATGACATTTATATATGAAGATGTCACAATGAAACCACTTTGTATGCTAACCTGAAAATCTGATAAAAGAAAATAGCAAAATAAAATGTTCCTTTAATGTAAGTGATGAAAGTTTTAATTATTGATGGGTGACATTAACAATGTTTTCGCTAATACCCAAATGCATTAATCAGAAATTAACAGTTATATAAACTAACTTACATAAAATAAGTATTTCCCTCATCTAGCTTTGGATTTCTTTTTAAGATTTCTTTTTATTATTTTGTAACTATGTAGATATGTGTATCCTCTAAGTGGGTATGTGTAAGTGAATGCAGATGCTCTTGGGGACCAAAGATGTGAGATCCTCTAGAGTTAGAGTTACAGGTGGTTGTGAACTACCCAGCATGGGTGCTGGAAACTGAACAGAGGTCCTCTGCAAGAGCAGCATGTAATCTTAACTGCTGAGCCATCTTTCCAGACTCTGGGTTTTAACTTCTGAAGACTGTACAAGAAGGAATCTATTTCACCATATATGTCACAGATCCTAAAAACAATCTCAAGAATTTGAAAAAAAAGTAGAATAGTGTCAATAAGTCCAACAAAATGTGTAAAATACGCTACCGATAAATCATATTCCCTAAAACATTAAATTGGCAGAATATTCAATTTATAGTTTCTGTGTAAGCCTCAAATTATTGAAAAATCAGTATATTTGGTAATCAACACCTAGAATTATCTAAGAGAAATAGAGATCAAATTCAGGATGCTCTTAATTATGTTTCATCTACATAACCTTATACTTTTCTTGTCTGTCAAATTTCTAACTTGCCTGCAATTAGAAAGAATTTACCTGCAGAATCTAGAAATTTTTCAACTTATTTTTCCAAAACTCTACCTAAGGAATCATTTGTTGCTTGCTATTAAGAACATTAATCGTTCCAATATTTTTTTCTAAAATATTTTCAGCCGGGTGTGGTGGTGCATGCCTTTAATCCCAGCACTAGGGAGACAGAGAGGTAAGTGAATCTCTGTGAGAGTGGTCAGCCTGGTCTACATAGTGAGTGCCAGACCAGTTGTGGCTACAGGGAGACCCTGTCTCAAAAAAGACTCCCCCAAAATTTTCTTTTCAGATTTTTTCACTAGCTTATGACTTTCAATATTCAGGTCATAGAGCACTATGAGACACCTGGAAGACAAAACTACATAAATCTTATTACATTATAATTTCTCCTCTCAAAATCTAGAAGAATCTGACTCTTCAAGTGTGGAACTTAAGTGTTTCTACTTTTCTTTAAAAAAAAAAAAACTTATCTGTATGAAATATTTTCAAGTTCATTAAGATACACTGTAAACAGCTAGGTGTGGTGGCGCATGCCTTTGGTCCCAGCACTCTGGAGGCAGATGCAGGTGGATCTCTGAGTTCAAGGCCAGCCTAGTCTACATAGTGAGTTCCAGGCCAGCTGGGACTACAGGGAGACCCTGTCTCAAAAAGACCAAAAAAACCCCAAAAAAACCTGTTAACATCTTCCAGAACTAAGTATATATGAAAAGAATACTCAATTCTAGGACTCAAGGTACAAAAGAACACAAGTTAACAGAACAACAAAGATGCTTTCTTCATGAGTGAGAATTAAAACAATGGATAAATTTTCCAGATAAATACAATACAGACTTTAACCCTACTTGATTTAGTATGATGTCCTATCACCTTGCTGCTAAGTAACTAACCTGTAAAATAAACTCAAAGCAGGCCTCCTCCCTCTCCTCAACCTCCTCCCTCCTCTGCCTTCTCCCCTTCCTCCTCCTCCTCCTCTTCCTCCTCCTTTGTTGTTGTTTTTGTTTTGTTTTGTTGCGATAAGAGCTCATTCTTTAGCTCAAGCTATTCTGGAATTCACCCAGGCTGAACTTATAGTAATCCTCCTGCCTCAGTTCCCAAGTGCTAGAATTATAAGCATGAACCACCATGTCCAACTCTCAAAGAAGAAGCTTTCTAAAGCTAAAAGAACAGCAAAAATATACTCGCGTTTATGTTAGAAGTAGTAAGTAATACCATTTTGAAGCCAAAAACTGGAAAGAAATGCTCAAGACTAAAACTGAATCTACATGGAAAGCAAAACATTTCTGTTTTAAAAAATATTTTATTATTTTTATTTTATGTGTATGAGTATATTGCCTGCACGTATGTGAGTGCACCCGTATTGTGCAGTGCCGATAAGGTCAGATGAGGGCTTTGGATTCCCCTGGAACTGGAGTTAAAGACAGTTTGTAGCTGCCATGTGGGTGCTGGGAATCGAACCCGGGTCCTCTGCAAGAGCAGTCAGTGCTCTTCACTACTGAGCCATCTCTCCAGCCCCACATTTCTGGGTTTTTTTTTTAATTATTTTTATTTTCTGTGTATGAATGCTTTGCCTGCATGTAAGTGCACCTATGTCATGCAATGCCTAGAGGTCAGAGGAAGGCATCAGATCCCCTGGAACTGGAGTTACAGGAAGTTGTTAGCTATCATGTAGGTGCTGGAAACAGAACCCAGGTCCTCTGCAAGAGCAGTCAGTGCTCTTAACTGCTGAGCCATCTCTCCAGCCCCTGGCTGTTTTGAGACAAGGTCTCATTTAGCCCAGGCTGGTCTCAAACTCGCTATATAGCCAAGGGATGATCTTGAACATCTGATCCTCCTGCCTCTATCTCCCAAGAGCAGGGAACACAAGCATAAGATACCATACTAGTTTTATGCAATGCTGGCAATTAAACCCAGGGCTTCATACATGCTAGAAAAACATTCTACCAACTAAGCTACATCCCCAGCCTAAGAAGGCAAAATATTTTCATGGAACCATGAGACATTTGGCACAACACACACACACACACACACACACACACACACACACACACACACAAACACACACATTTTCCCTCCAGAAAAATGTATCTGGGATTTAATCCAAAAGTCAATAACGGTGGAGTCAGGACAGGTAACAGGTTAAACAAACTTGGCTACATATTGATAACTGGTGATGTCGAGTAATGAAAATGCAGGGCTCAAATACATTCTACTCTGAAGTGGGTTTAAACCTTACCCTACTAAAAGGCTTTTAAAAACAACCATTAAATGAACTTTTCCTTCAATATTTTAAAGTTCCCTTGCTTCATTTTTCCAACCAAATATTACTACTAGTAGATAGTCTTGATCACAGAACTAATTCTTCTGAGTGGTAAGGATTTTTCCCCTAGATGTCCCCCAGTTGTATCAACAATTGGGGAGGAAAGTGCTACAAAGAATGGCATGCTATGATTAACAGAAATATCAAATATACTCAACTCAATACACTTTGATATAAAGCTTGCAGGCAAATATTCAAAAGCAAGAAGGATAATGAGAATAAATATGTCACCTACCTTCCACAGTGGACACTTGAACAAGTCAAACAGACCCAGGGGCTTTTGTTGGATCTGCACACTAATAAAAAGAAAAATACAATACGGTATTTGGATCATGTTATTTCCTGCTTTCTTCTCCAATCTCTAGTCCATATCCTGTGATTAAATTATAAATTCCATGGCTGCCTCAGTGTACTGAAATCACAAATCCCACCTTTGTGAATTTACACAAAATGACTGTCTACTTAAAACTCTATTGAAAAGAATGTAAATACATGTCATTTTCACTGTTGACTCAATTCAAAGTAACACATGTATATTTGTTCCTTTTCTTATTCTGTTCACGGTTTCCAACAAGTTAATAACAGTCTGTTTTCCCATAAAAAGTCCATGTTTTTCTTAAGTCTAGTCCTTAATTCTCAGTTGCAGAAAATATGGCAAATGCACTTAATTCTTGCTGATGATGTAAACATGACAATTATTTTAAGTATTATACCTAGTGGAGCAAGCAAGACAAGGTATGAAAACCTTTAAAATGTTGATTAAATTTTTGCTTGTTGCACTAGGGATGTGACTCAGTAGTAGAACACTTACCTAGCATGTATGAGACCCTGGGTTTGATTCCCAATACCTCACTTTGAAAAAATGTTTACTATTTCCTTATTCATTTACAAACAAAAATCTAATATGCAAAAATGTAAATTTAATTCACAATTTTTTAAGAATAGAACAGGTCACAGCATGAATGTTTCCTACATATAATCCTAAAACCATTTATTTCCATCAAATTTAGGGAAAGTATCTTATTATAAAAGAAAGTTTCAGAAGTTTATCTGTAAGATGAACATACTTCCCATGCAAACAGAATTAACTTTCCAGGCTTTTCTATAAAATTCAACATGAAACACAATATAGCTGAAATTATGTACACAGGCACACACACACACACACATGCACTCACATAATAAAAGTGTACATGATAAGGGGGCTGTTAAGAATACTTGCTGTTCAGTTCCCAGCACCCATAATGACAGTTAACACCTGTCCTTAACTCCAGTTCCAGGGGATCCAATGTCCTGTTCTGGTCTCCAAAGGCAATGCATCCATAGGTGTACTTCAATATATGCAGGCAAAAAACACTCATACACATAAAATAAATAAAAATACACAAGCAGCTGGGCGTGGTGGTGCTTGCCTTGCAGGTGGATCTCTGTGAGTTCAAGGCCAGCCTGATCTACATAGTGAGTTCCAGGACAGCTGGGACTACAGGGAGACTCTGTCTCAAAAAGACCAAAAAAAAAAAAAATACACAATCAAAATGTTTTAAGCTCTGTATATAGTATCTATTCAGCAAAACATGAAAAGATCAAACCAAAAGTTATATACATACATATATATATATATATATATATATATATATATATATATATTTATTTAATTATATAATATAAATATAAAAAACTCTATCTA